ATTCCGGGCACTCTGCATTCACTGTCTTGAGTCTCCATGAAAGCCAGATGTGTAGATGATATAATTATTTATGTTTTTTTACAGATGACAAGTTCTGAGCAGCAAATAGGTGAACCAAACTGCACAGTGATGAAGAGAGAAGACCCGGGTGGGATTCAGTCCCAGGAATACACTGACAGGCTCCATGGGACATTCTGCTCCTTAGTTTTTGAGATTTCAGCTTGATGAAAGCAGAGTAGAAGCGGGACCCCAAGGCGAGAGGGAAGCTTTTGAACTGCCAGTTATCCTGGAGAAATCAGCTAATTTCCGGTGCTATTGGTGAGACCCTGGTGTAGGAGCCCACTCAGATTAGAGGGTAAAAAAAATCCAGAATGCTGTTGGGCCATCTATTCTCCATAAAAAAAAAAAATAGGTTAGATTGAAAGAAAAAAAGAAGCGCCATAAAAAGAGTCCTCCAGGAAAACTGTCTGCCTTAAACTCAGCCGCAGATGGAGAGGGGGAAAAAATAATTGTACCCTGAGAGTTTTTAACTGAAAATTGGCTCTCCTGGGGGTTTCATACCAAATACATATTAATTATTTAATTAAAAATCTGCATGCTGACATTTTATACCCAGGTGGTGCCCCACTGGTAGCTCCTGCCGTCTGACTAAACAATGGATTCTTTAGGGAAGAATATAGTTTCAGCAGGACATCGGTGTCATAACACTCATTCCAACAAGAATCCACCCAAAGCATGGAGAAAACAAGGTGCCATGAGTGACAGCCACTGGGAACGAGCACACGGCAGAATCAGAGCCCTGGGGGCTTCACATGCGGGGTTTACCAGCTGTGACATAGAAAGTGTGTGTATTTAATATGTTTAAATATGGAAGATGTGTGAAAAGTATGTACAAGGAATAAGAGACTGTAGACATGACAAGGGAGAACTTGTGTGAGAGGAAGGTGTGATCCTTGAAACTTAAAAGCTCCCTGGGCAAGCTGGGTGGCAGGTTACGGGTGGCTGAGAGGGTACGTTTATCTATGAGCGGTCCGTCTGCAGGAATGAGCCAGGACCCAGCAGACACCCAGGGAGCTGGAAAGCAGATGTTTGAGCAGTGGGCGGCTAGATGACGTGTGAGGTCCTGTCAGAGGCCTGGAGTGAAACGGAGCAGAGGCAACCCTTTTTAAGAAGGACGATTGCCTGCACCCCCAGTTTCGGAAACCACAATGTAATCTGGGTGAGCTGTAGTGTTTGCTGTTACCTGGGCACCGCCAGCCTCAGGTTTTCCCAGTGTCATGCTGCCTGGACGCTCCCCCTCCTGCCCCTCGTCTCCTGTGGGCTGGCATCCAGGAGGCTGTCCCTTTTTGCCCTCTCCCCGTCCCCACATGAGACTGCGTTTCGTCGCCAGCCAGGGACTTGCTGGCCTCACACACGCCCCGGGTCTGAGTTGTCAGGGTGGGCTCATCCCCAACTCTCTTCTCACAGATGCCACCCACTCCCTTGGCTTGGCAGTCCTTAAACGATGATCTCCAGCTCACGTCTCTCTTCTCTCCTCGGTTCTTGACTGGGATTCCAGTGTCCGTCGTGCATCTCTGCTTGGCTGTCCGGTCCAGACTAAACTCATATTTCCACCATTTCCTCACTCGTTCCTATTGCTCTTCACATTTCTTTCCTTGGGCATCCCACCACTGTCTCCCCGTTGCTTCAGTGCAGCCACCTGTGGCTTACCGTCCCACTCACATCCCACAGGCAACCAGTTCATTGCCCGCGGGTCCTGGCCTCTGTCCATGCCCTTCCTCACTGTGGCTCCTTGGTTTGCCATCCTGACCTCCATCGGTTCCGAGCTGGACTGTTTCCGCCGACTCCTGCTTCCCAGCTCTCCTCTGTCCCGTCTTCCAGACTGTGTAGGTAGAACGGTTCTAAAGCACAAGTTTAAAACAGGCACTGCCCTGCTCACGTCTCCCTTGATGTTTTCTGAATAAATTATCAACCTCTCGGTGTAGTCTGCAAGTCCCCTTCGTGACTGAGCCCCATGGTTCATGACCTGGCCATACCGCGGAATCTCCCGGATGATTTAAAAAGTGCCAGCGTGGAGGGTTTAGGAGGAGGGGCCTCAGACCCTTAGTCTCTGGTGACTGAATGTCACTGATTTATTGGCCTCCACGTGCTGACTGCCTGTGTTTGGTCAAATGGCATGAGAGGTGCTTTAGGGGAACTGCCTTGATGCCCGTGAGATCCCGCTTCAGAAATGACCAAACAGGCTCTGAGATGCTGAGTGCCCTCCCTGAGATGGCGCCTGTTAAGCGCTGGTCTCTACCTGCACAGCGTGTACAACGTGCACGTTCACATCCTGTCTCTGGAAGCGAGGTGTGATTGACCAACGCGGTCTGTCTGTATGGCTTTTCTTCCTGGAGCAGACTCAGGATGCGTGGAAATCCGTGTGCAGGATACCCACGGGCAGTTGTATAGACCTGCTCTGCCAGCTCCCCAGCCACGTCCTTGCTGGCTCACCTTGACCCCCTTAGCCTGATGTCCGCGGGGCCCCAGGTGCGTGTGGAGCCCGTCCCGCTCCATGGGAGCCTCGGCTGTGGCTGGATGGCAGCCTTGGGGACCCTGAGCCAGAGGCACCTGGCTCGCAGGGCCTGATTCTTGACCCACAGAAACTGTGAGATCGTGTTTGTTGTTTTCAGACGCTACATTTTGGTGTAATTTGTCCCACAGCAAAAAATAACAAATACTGTTTGTGTACCCTCGAGCCATGTTTGAATTCACTACACGCATTTCCTCATCTGTAAAACTGGGAAGAACACTGCCGGCTCCCCGGGCTGATGTGAACTCCACTGAGAGGATGCAAATGAAGGCTGCTTATAGGCATAAAGTGGGACATAAAGTAAGATATCCACTCGAGGAGAGTTCACAGCTAGAGGCCTTTGCAGCCTTATTTGTTTAATGCCCTGTGTTATGGGCTCCTAGAATTGACAAGCTAGAGGTATGTGCTGGCTTCATTGTATCTGCTGGGATGATACCATAGTGCCCAGCTGTGTATTTAATTAATTTAACATTCAAAGGCTATAAACACCTCCCTTTTTTCATTTGTCAGCGGCTAATTAACTCCCATAGTAAAAATCCCAGCATCCACAGCGGGTGTTTTCATTCCCTCTTTGTGTACAACCCAAGGACTCCTTCCTCAGAGGGATGCAGGAAGGGAGGGGGGAACCGTCCTGTCCTCAGAGCCTTGCCTGCCTCTGCCTGGACCCTGGGCCTCGGAGCAGGTGGAATGACTGTGATCAGAAATGCTGGCCCCTGAGAGTTGGAAACCCTGTCCATGTGGGCTCAGAGCCACGGAGCTCACCCACTGTGGGCGACGGAGCCTGCGAAGCCCCATGCGCAGCTCAGGGCCCAGCAGGCTGGGTGCCCCTGGCCCAGGGTGTCTCCTGAGGCTGTGGCCAAACTGCAGCCGAGGCTCACCTGGGGCAGGACGGGCCCCACGCTCACTCTGGGCCGAACTTGGTGCCCTGCGGGCATCAGGCTAAGGAGGTCGGGGCAAGCCAGCATAGACGTGCAGGGCGCACCGGCGGAGCGGGTCTGTACCACCTGCACGCGAGCATCTTGGTCTTCAGGAGAGGAGAGGATAACCGGGACGAGGCCCAAGGCAGACAACGTTCACCCTGCTCTGGGATGTGGAAGCAACAGGGAGATGCGCTACCTGGATAGAACTGCTCAAACAGTACACTGGTTCCCATCTTGTTATTACCTCACTGCATTACAAAAATAATAATTCCTTCAATATTTTGGGGCACCTGTTGTTTGGAAAACATTGCTTAAAGTTGTGGGACATTGAATGTCTGAGAAAAGACCCTCCGCCAGAGGAGAAAATAATAATAGCACCACCATCCCAGCACTAGCGCTGAGCGCCAGGCATTGCATTAAGGTCATTTCTTCACTGCCACAAGAACTTTGATCTTGTGTGTGAAGACAAATCATTTCTATCAAAAATGAGGACTAAGGCTAAGGAAGGCAGCAATTTTTTCCAAGGTTATACACTAAAGCATGTCCCGGCCAGGAGCGGAGTGACCCAAGAGTCCCCAGAGCCCCCTCCGTGGCTCCCCCTACCCCGGCCCACCCTTCCTTTGGTTCTTGATAGGATCCAGGGACATGTATGAAACACTTTGTGGGACTATGAAAGCATCTTCATACATGGTCTTTGTTATTTTCATGACAAATCTCTGAAACTGGTGTTGGGTCCAAGAGAACCGGGCTCAGGCTGGCCTAGGGTCAGTCAGCAAAGCTGGGCCGACCCGAGATGCAGTATGAGACCCAGGCCAGAGCACAGAGTGGGGCCCTTCAGGCGGGAAGCTCCTCAGGTCAGAGGGCAGGAGCTTCCTGGTGCAGGGAGGGGGCTTGTCGTGGGGGGCAGAAGGGGCCCTCGGGGAAGTGTGTCCCTCCAGGATGAGAAGAGCGGGTAAAGGTGACAGAGGACCTTTCTGTGAGGGGCGTGTGAGGGTGTCCGTGTTGGGGCAGGGTCCTTGGCTGAGGGTCTGAGGCTCTGGGTGCCAGCACCCCCTGCCCTCTGCTGAGCCTGCTCCTCCCACGGAGGACAAGGTGCCTATGTGCACGCAGCCCGCAGCGTTGTGAGTCGAGGGGACTGGGTGGAGTGGTCGGAAAGTGGCAAAGCCTATTACAGATAGGAAGCCTTATTACCCCAGCAGCAGACAAGACAGGCTGGAGCATCAGCGTCTTGCAGACCCCACAGGAAGGCCCCACAAGACCCCCGCATCGGAACCAAGCTCCGGGGCGCCAGCCAGTCCTGTGGGCCCTGAGCCTCAGTGGATGTTTGGAGAAACATGACTGCTGAGCATCATCCACAAAGACAAGCTGCTCCTGGGATCCTGAGGAAGCAAGCTTGCCAGGGAGAAGCCACCTGCACGCGGCTGGTGTGAGCAAGGCCGTGGGACCGACTCGTCGGCGATGCTCGGATAGCCCCTGGCCCCCGCTCCGCAGACACCAGGCACACTCACCTGCCGCGCCCCAGCTCCCACCGGGAGGTCGTCTCCTCTAAGGCGCGGCTTCGGGGAAACTTCTCTGTGGCAAAGCCACAGATTTGCGGTAGAAATGTCTTCAAATGCATAAAGTAAAGTGCCTAGGATTGCAAAGGAGACAAATGATATTGAAATGTACTCATCGAAATATTAGAATATTTGTGACATGTATATTCTCTATTCAAGTATTAAACGAACTACCCAGCAGTGGGTCTGATAAGGGACAGGAGCTTCCGGAGGCCGTTGGATCACCCGGGAACCTCTCTGCTCATGGGTGATGCCCGGCACTGGAGACGCCCCTCACCCCCCAGTCTTCCCAAGGCCACGGCCCTCACCAGGACAGGCTTGGCCAGCTGACCTTCCCGTCCAGCTTGGAGGCGGGCGAGAGCCAGGAGCAGATCACGCCTCCCCTGGGAACGCGTCAGCCCCGCTCTGGAAGTCCTCTCGCCGTGGGGCGTCCCGTACCAAGGCCGCACAGTGAGGCCCAGCACACAGACTGGGGAACAGCTGGGGGCCCCAGCCTCCCCCTTCCTCCGCTCACGGAGGCTCGGAGAGGCAGCAGCACGGCCTCTGGATCCTCCTTAAACTTTGGGAGCCTCAGCTGCGGGACCCAAGCCCCTCCTCTGGATGCGCGTCCAGAGCCAAGCTCTGGCTTCCGACCGTCTGGACGGCAGCCACCGGGCCGCCAGCGTGTGGGGGAGAAACATGGAAAATAACACTCGGGCCAGAACAGCACCGAGCGTCTCTGGGTTACCCCAGCCGGGAGGAGGCTTCTGCGCCAGCGTCTCGGGGACGGAGACCATGCCCTCCACCCCCCACGGGGCTCATCAGCGCGAGGGCTGCGGGATGGAAAGAACTTGAGACTGAAGCGCGGTCTGGGAAAACTGCAGTTGGTCAATGAAAGAACCGAGTCTCATCTTCATTTTCAACCCTGGGGGCTGTGTGTTCCCAGGAGCGCAGGCAATCTACCTGGGTCCAAGCCCGCGTTTGGTGGCATCTGGTCTGTCCTGTGCGTGCCCCTTTTCTTTTTTAACTTTTTAGATTTCAGGTGCAAAACTTGATTTAATCAAACGCCTCTCTCAGTTCATGGCGCGCTGTGAAGTCCAACCCCACAGGTCCCTTCCTTGGTTTGTCCTGGCTCCCCTCCCCCACTGCCCGCTGCTGTTCCTCACCGCTGAGCGGTACCTCCCCTAACATGTGTGACATATGCTCCTGGTATGTATGCATCTGGGGGAAGTATGCAGTGGGGTTTTGTGTATGTATGTGCTTTAACGTGCATGATAGTGTCTCACTGCACTTCCTACCTTGTTATTTAACACCACAATCCAGTGACTACTCACTAGTTAATTGCTTCTGAGCTGCATAATATTCCCTTCGATGAAGGACTGCACTTTGCTGCTGCAAATAATGCCACGGTGTACAGTTTTCCATGTGGTGCCTCGTGGGCCTGCACGGGACTTTCCTGGGCATGTCCCCAGGAGAGGGACTGCTGAACGCAGGCACGCACTGAGTCCCCCAGAGAGGCCAGACTGCTTTCCGGGGAGACTGCCAGTTCCAACTCCCACCTCCTATGCCTGTCGATTCATATTTCCCCAAACTGGTGAAGACTTGGAGTCCTCTAGCTTTTAAATTTTTGCCAATTGAATGGATATTAAGTGGCATGATATTGTTTTAATTGCTGTCCCTTACTATGGGGGAGGTGAGAACCTCCTGAACTTTAGTCATTCGGGTTTCTCCTTTGAGTCATCGTCTGGCCGCATCCTTTACTGATTTCCCTACTTTTTTCCAATGTTTATAATTCCAATATATAATTCCTTTTAACCTTACAGTTTGTGCTTATAGAGACTTGTTTAAAACAACCCCCTTTTCTACCCTCAAGTCATTTTTTTCTCCCACTTTAAAAAGTTGTGCCTTTGACATTTTGGTCTTGAAGCCATTAGGAGCTCATTCTTTATATGACATGAATAAGAATGTAAATTTGTCCTTCTCAATAAGTGAGCCGGCTTTCCCAACACCACCTGCTAAACAATGTATCTGTTCCCTGCCTCTAACAGGCATCATCTTGTCACCCACATGCTCTGTTTCTGGGCACGCTAATGGGTTCCCTGCGTTGTCACTGTTATGTTGGTGTACTATTCCCCCCTTGCTGTGTGTGTGTGTGTTCACACACACACAACATGGGCAACTATTTGTAAAGCTTAATTCTTCAGTGTGGCTGTAGAATCAGTTTATCAAACTTCTCAAAAATTTCTGGAGCAGATACTCAAACACATTGAATATATAAGATTGATGTAGGGGAGAATGGCAAATTTATACTGTCTGATAATTCCGTGCACTCATTCATTTATTATTCATGTCTTTTGAAAGACAATGATTTGAAGGATGTAGCACTTAAAAGATTTATTCATAAAATTTGGCGCATTCTTTGTTAGTTTCTGTTCCTAGAAACTTAAGGAATTCTTGATACTATGAAGGGCATCTTATTTTCTGTTATAAATGTTTCTTGTTGGTTAATGATAGTGCAAATTGAATTTGTATCTGGCAGCCTTAATGAACTCTTACGAGTTTAGCAGTCTATTATATTATGGGTTTCCAGAGCATGTGGCCCCCTGAAACCAGATGCACGCTTGTGCTTGGCATTTCTCATCACTAAATCTTCCTAAAGCTTTTCCGTGCTGGTTGGTCCTGTAACAGAAACACTGGCTATCGTTTCCTAGCATTTTCTATGCCAGGTACAACCCTACGAACTTTACATGTATAGCCTTACTTGATTCTCATAACAACCCTATTTGATTTTATTTTTATCCACACTTTACAAATGAAGAAATGGCAGCTAAACAGTGAATTATCTCAGATTACATTGAGATGCAACTGAGATCAGGCCATGCATCTTTGACTGTAAATCCCAGGCCCTCTAGAATGGAGTTACTTTAAGCCTGGGTGTCAGATCTGCTCACAACGAGCTAGGTGAAGTCCCTATGTCCCACTGATACGCACACTCGCTATGAAAAATGTGTAGTTTTTGTAATTGAACCTATGCTGTGTTTGTTCTGATTCTGTTCATTTAACTCTAATTTAATATAATCTCTAGCATAATTATAATAGATATATTTATATTAAGCACAATAATAAGACAATTAAAATTGTCTCTAACAGTAAATGCCAAATTAGGGACTGGTATTTTTGTTTTTCATATACTTTTGTCTTTGCCTTTACGTATCTTCATTTCGTATTTATTTTTCTGATAAATATTGTGTCTTACATAAGTATCAGTTGATGACATTTAAAAAAATTAAAGAAGAGAAAAGAAGTGCTTTGTTTTTCCTTTTTAGTACTGATAGTTTCAGAAGCAATGAGTCGGAGTGCGTGTCCTTTTAAAAAGGTGTCTCTTGCTGGCATCAGTGTCTGAATGCAGCATGGCAGGATGAAGGTCATGCACCAGTCTGCCTGGGTGCCCGGTGTCGTCAGCTGTTTTAAGAAGGCGATTTGTATGTCTGAGATGCTCCAACTGAATGAGAGCCATTCTGAGACAGGCCTTCCCCACAAAAGGACGCCTGAGAACGTTTCCTTGTGACGTCCCTTTCCAGCCTTCTCTGCAACTGCAGACCTCAGCGTTCAATGGACGGAATAGGCGAGAAGCACTGCTGGGAAACATGAAGAGACGCCTGAGCTCTGAGGTGGGGAAAGGCTTCTATTTGAACAGAAACGACCAACCTTTAGATGCAACAGCCCCCCATCTGGAAAAGAACATACTGAGCTTGAGTGTGGCAGTATCTGCAGGCTAATTATGTGGTTATTGACAATGTTACTGGAGCTTTTCTTATTTAGAATATTAAAGTACAGTATTTGAATGTAGATTGAAGTATTTAAGCTATCAGCACAGGTAAGCATATACAGTAATGTTGAGATATGTCATTGAATCTGTGAAGAAATACATAGTATCTGTAGAATACTGTAGAATAGAAAGAAGTAAAATATTTCAAAAAGTTTAAGATCAAATTACAAATAAAAAAAGTTATATAGAATAGTCTTCCACCATCATTCGATATGATGGGCAAGTCAGTGAATTTACAATCTGGTTGTGTTACATACATCACTACCTGGCTGTGTTTGTGAGTGTATAATGTTGCCATGTTTCAAGCATAATAATTAGTAGAGCTAGCAGAAATAATATGGCTTTTACATTTGGATTTTAACTTTCTTGTACGTCACTTGTACAAAGATTTTTAGAGCAGCCCTATTTAGCTCATGGAAAAAAATGGGAAAAAATTCAAATATTTAACAATAGGAAAATTTTCAGTAAGCCATCTTTGCAAGTATAATGAAATACTTTATGCATAATCCTTAAAAATAAGTAAACAGAATATATCATTATGAAACAATAGCTCTACAAAAAAGTATTGGGACTGTCAAATAGAGACTTTGTCAAATATTTACATTTTAAAAAGAGCCAGAGTTAAGGTAGAAATGCAAGGGGAGCCCCCCACTAACATATGTGCCTGAAGTGAGCCCCAGCCCTGGGCCCATCTCGCCTGGAAGTACCCATGTGTCTCCATCTCAGGAACTTCTTAAGATGACTGTAATTTAGGGCTATAGAAACTATAAATTATCTTTGCATGTGTTTACATGATAATTACTGAGGCCTGCAGAAGCTGAATTTTAAGTTTATAAATAACATTAAAGTTATCATTTTAGTAACTTTAAGCCAATATTTCATTTTTGTTTTTTGGTTCTATATCTTTGATCCAGATTCTCTGAAGTGTAAGTTTATATGCGTTAGTTGGGAAGAGAAGTGGGGGAAAAACACAAAGGGGAAAAAATCAGTGGTTGATGGGCTTCCACTAAAAAAGTGTCCTGGTCCCAAATTGGGAGAAACCAGTCCCATCACCCGCTGTTGATACAGGTAGATCGCCAGACAGAGCCTCTGAAGGCCGTTTCTTTTCTGCTAGTGACCGTTATTCCCTGGATGGCAGTGAGCATGATTGCAGGGCTGTTTCCCACGAAGAAGTGGCCGTAATCGAGAACACATTGGCCAAAACTCGTTTTTCTCTTGCGACAGTGGGACAGTCTTTCATACGAGTCCCAGTTCACTGAGAACCCCGGTCCTATGCTAGGTCCCACACTGCGCACGGAGAGAGGACCTGTGTGCTCTTCCGGAGCTGGGGGCGAGGAGTGGACCACAGTTATTTCAAGAGGGAGGAAAAGTTGCTCAGACAATAATTTATGTTGCTTGCTTTAATACGAATTATCCTAACCTTTATATAAATATGTGTGAATGTAAACAGGCAAACACGAAAAAGTTATAGAACCAGTAGGAGTTGAAGAGCCTTGCATCTGAGCTTCTGGCTGCCCCGTGGTCAGGGGGTCCTGGGGGTCACTGCTGCCCCTCAGCGTCTGGGCTGGGCCTCACCAGGCCCTCCCGGTTGACAGACAGCACAGTCAGATAACTAGCTCCTCAGTACCCTGCAAAGCAGGGAACATTAGCATTACCAGATAGCACACTTACCATGTTAAGAAAATTTTCATTAGAGTAAAACAACCTTTGTTGATTATCCCACATGACTTAAGACTTCTGATCACTAGTTTACCCTCCCCTCCATCTACCCCATCACTGTGGTATCAAGGCAATATTCACCTGCATTCTGGGCCTGCCGCTGTGAACTCACGTGTTGATAAAGCACAGAGAATTATTATTCTCAAGTCTGTTTTCCAGATATAAAGTCGGTAATAGGACCAGCACATCCTCCTCCTTGAGAGAAGAGAAAAAAAACTAATGAAGCCTAAAAAATCTTCCCTGAACACCTTCAGGAGTCAATCCACCCTCAAGAGGCCATCAGACCTACTCCTTGGCCAGGGAACCTGCCACCTGCTATGGAGATCACTGAATCTGTCATGTGGCTTCTGCAAAACCATGTCCTGATTCTTCATGAACACAGGTTTTCCTTCTAAGCTACTTCCTTTGATGTAACTGTTTCTATCTACAACTTGTTTATATCTTATGATCTCTGTTCTCCTTCAGTTTTTGCAAAGTAACAGAGGAAATCAAAATTGCTGTGGTATTTATGGCTGATCTCTCGACTGTGGGAATAAATCATGCATCAATTTAACAATTCACTCAATAAATATTGCATCATGCCCTGTGATAAGAATACAAAAACTGAGTAAGATATTTTGGACATAGATACCGGTGATGGTCATACAACCTTGTAAATGCCATTAATGCCACTGGATTGTGTATTTAGAAGTGGTTAGAATGGAAAAGTTGATGTCACATATATTTTACTGCAAAAAAAACAATGCCCCATAACAAAGACATTGGCCAAGACAGTCCTTCCCATCTCACGCCCACCGTCTGGCAGGAAAGACCAGCCGCTAATCGAGTGTCCCGGGTCAGAAGAAAGAAGAGTGTGTAAGGGCCCAGTGGGCACCGAGGTGGGGGCTGCGAGCCACACTCGGCTTTCTGTTTGTTACTGTTTGTTTTGCTTTTTTAGTGGTGCTGTTTTGGATAGCCTCTGGGCTGGGCTTTCAAAGAGGAGTGATTCTGCACAGCCCAAAGGCTCAGGCTTCCCTCAAACGCTGGATTCTGCGTCGTGGTTAGCAGCATGCAGATGGCTCAGTCTGACCCGGTACTTCTTTCTACTCCCATTTGCCTGTCCTTCCCAGAGCCCGGACTCCTGTGGGACATGGGAGACACCAAGGGTGCAAAGTTCAGGGGCAAGTGCTGGCCCTGCACCTGCGTGGCCCTGAGGAGTGGCCGCCTGACATGTCCACGCCTCTGCTGTGGGACTCGGCGACCTGCTCCAGTTCCCTGCTTGCTCGTCTCCCTCCCTGTGCAAACTACCAACTGGGTCTCTGCACCTTTGTGTCTCCGGGGGCTAGTGCAAAGCAGAGCACATGGAAGGTGCTCCATAGCGGCAGCATTCTTCAGTAAGCATTTTTTAAAGAATGAATGAGGGCCACAATCCGCCACATGCCCCAGGGACACACTCTTCAGCCCGTGTCTTCCCCGTGGCTCCATCTGTCCTGTAGAGCTGGAGTTTGCTCGAGGCTCCTGGTCTCTGAAGGCCCCCCGAGTCAGTCCCCCGTCTGTGCATCCCTCCTCGCCTTTTTCCAGCTTTTATTCCTTCTCCCTATGATTGATTTTGGAAGAGTTGCTCTGCCTTCAAGTGCACGGACTCTTCTCTAGGGCCTGACCCACTGTTGGTCCCACCAGTTTGCATTTCAGATATTACAGTTATTGGGTTCTTTATTTTCTTTACATCCTGGAGCATGTGGATTATATTTATAGAAGATGTTTCCATGTCCTTATTCACTTAAGTCATCATCTCTATTATTTCTGCATCTCCTACTCCCTGCAAAGCTCTCTACCTGTGCTAACGTTTGCTTCCTGGCCGTCTGTCCTTGGGAATATGACCTTACTCACTCCTCAGGGCATCCCTTCCCTGTGCACTTGAGTGTGTCCCATATGTTCTCCTGCACATGGATTCCCCTTGCTTGTGGCTGTTCCATCCCTCAAACAGAGGCTATGCTTTATTCTTGGAGATTAAGAATGGCTACCATAAAATGTGCTTTGACACATTGCCTAATACTGTGTTAGGTGCTTTTCCTGTATTTTCTCACTCAGTTTCTGGGTTTGTATCTGGATCTAGAAAGTTAGCTGTGAAACCTCCAAGTCCAGCCGTGGCTCACCAGCTTATCAGACTGATGTTTCCATCAAATACGTATAAGAAATCTGCATGAAAGCATTGCCTAGAATCTGTCTGGAGGTGTCACAGAACTGTGAAGCCTGTGAGGACTTGGGGGGCCAAGTCCCTAGAGATGAGGGGGCCCTGAGAAGAGAGTCCCATGCACAAAGCCCTTTTCCATGATGGCACCCACCAGTTGGGAGGCTGAGAGACTAAGAAGCAGTTAGGGATCGGAGCCCACCTGCAAGGAGCGGGACCTGATACACTGCTCCGGAATCGTAGCAGGACTCATGAGGGCTGAGGCCAGACCAGACCGGACCTCACAGAGGTGGAAACCCAGTTTCAAAATCCCAACCCAGGACAGGATTAAGGCGATCTGCCTCTTATCGAACTGCTTGCAGTAAGTAAGTGGAGATCCTCCTGGGAGAGAGCCGATCCCTTCTGAGGTCTGTACCGGTCAGTGCTCATGACCACCCACTTGTGCAGGTCAGCATCTCCTGCCACATGGACTGATGTGACAGCTTCCTGGGGGCCCAAAGTTGAGTGGAATGAACAGGGCGCTCGCCCTCACGGAGCTTATAGCCGAGGAGACCTTATGAGCACAGGAATGTGAGGGAGGAGGCAGAAGGTCCAGGCCTACAGTCTGGTAAAGGGGAAACACGTGGATCAAGCCGTTGGTCACCAGGTAAACCAAAATAACACTAAGCTCCACGTAAGGGAGGCCCACGGTGCCGTGAGCACATACAGGAGAGATGTGACCCTAATCACAGAAGCCAAGGAGACCTTCCCAAAGAAGCGCTTTTGGGTAAAACTGAAGAGCTGTAGCTTAGAGCAGGGCTGTATAATCTGATCCCAACCTCCCTTCAGAGCTTCATTTTCCATCAGTTCATCGCAGCCCACCTTCTGCGTCCACCCACCCCTTGCTCGAGGCTCCTGGAGAGCTCTGAGCTTCTGCTTGCCCACTCTGGGCGCTCTCACACATAAGGCTTCCTTCGCTTGATTCCCCCTCGCCCTCCTCAGCCAAGCAGTCTCCTAGCTTGACCACACGTGCCCCTTCGGAAACTCAGCTAAAACAGAGCACGGAGTTAGCTACGTATGATAAAGAAAAGTCTTCAAGTGAGCAGGCTCCACGCCTCCTTTAAGCTTTCAGCTGAGAAGTGATCACATAGTATTAGCTTCAATTCAGAGAAGCGATCTATAGGATCACTATAGCGTCTCTGAGGCTGGGCAGGTTCGTAAGCCACCCGGGCCCACTCACCTCCCCGGGGTGTGTAAGGGCGAGCATTGTGATTCTGCCCCAACAGACACCAGAGAAAGTATGTTCAGAGGGAAGCAATGACCCAAGGGAAGATTTTGCTTTGCTTTTAAAAAAGGAAGCATGAAGGAAACTACTCTTGCCCGTTCAGATTTGCCATCAGCATGTAATGCTCACAGCCGTGGTGCCCTCCTGGGACCACGCGGGTGGTCATCCCAAGATGCCAGCTGGCCGGGCACGGAGGACAGGCAGAAAGACCCTCAGTCTTCACGATATTGTCTGAGCTGGTGCATTTACCAGCCTCAGGATGAAGTTAATAGCAAAACCGGATCCTGGTGGCATTGCTGGGGCATGCAATCAAACCTTATCTGAAGTCAACCCCAGCTCTGGAATTTTCCATTTCAAGATCCTAATACATTTCCTGTATTTGTGTGTGTGTGTGTGTGTGTGTGTGTGTGTGACCTTGGTCAGCCACATAGTCTTTTTGTTTGTTTTGTTTTTGATATTTTTTAATGGAAGTGTAGTTGACCTACAATATTGGTTCCAAGCATACAGCGGGGTGATTTGACAGCCACGTCCACTGGTAAGCGCTCACCGCAACTGCTGTGGTTACAGTCTGCCACCACGGAAAGGTGTTCCGGAGCCACTGGCTTGTTCTCTACGCTCAACTTTCATCCCTGCGACTAATTCATACTGTGACTGAGGTTTCATGCCTCTTTATCCCCTTCGCCTATTATGTTTCCTTTATTTTTAAGCCGACTTTAATGTTTGTGGTCATGTACCGCCGGCAGCCTCCCGAGCGGGCAGTCTGTTGGAATTACCCAGTGCTTTCTTCTCATTTGACAAAGAGAAATAACAGAATGAGGCCCACAGGTGGGAACTGGCCTGTCAGGCAGGGACGTGGCTGCCAGTTTGATACTAGAGAATAGACTTCCTGTCTCCCAGCCTATTGTTTTCCAATAAGCTTTTTGGTCCCCACAGCTGCAGAGATGGGTGCGATTTTCCAGCTAAGTTAGGATGCCAGGCAGCCTTTCACTTACAACACTAGTGAAACTATTCCTTTCTGTGGCTACTTGGACTCTTTGGAGATTTAACATTAAGAGGTTTTTGTGTCCGTGGAATGAAATCAGCCTGGGAAATCCTGCTTTTCTAATGTCTTCTTGAGCGTGATCTGTGATTTGCATTTCTAAGTGTCCTCCTTGTGGGGCACACAAGGCATGTGACACGTTCCTCAGAGTATTTCCATAGCAACCGGCAGGCATGAAGAATGCTTTGCCGAATCACAGAGTTTAGGAGTGGATGTTGAGTCCCAAACCTGATTTCCCCCAATTGCATGTTTTCCTTACTTGTGTACATCTGTGTGTGTCCCTGTGTGTGCATGTGTGCGTGCAGGCATGTGCTTAAGTGAAATGTGTACAAGAATGCAACTGGGGCAGCTCTGTGGCTAACTTTAATTTTTCCTTTTTATTTTTTCTTTCTCACTGAGGAACATCCCTGTGTCCCTCATTCACCTTCTGTCCTTCCCTCCCGCCTCCCCCCGCATCCCCACTCCTTCTCTCTAGGCATCACTCTCGTGGAAACGATGTTTCCAAGTTCCCCCCTCTTGAGACATGTCACCACTATTTAAACAGGGAAAAATCCTCTGTTTCAGTCGAGCGTGTGTCATGTGCAGTGGTTGCTGTGGAAATACTCAGAGAAAAATACCTGAAAAGAGGTGTCAAAGTGAAGTTTTCTCCAAGGGAGGAGTATGGAGATGAAATGAGTCACTTTATGAAGCGGTGTTCGGCTGGTCGCCGACGTGCGGACCGGAAAGC